CACACACACACACACACACACACACACGTTTTGGTCCCTGATTCCCTTCGCTTCCCGACACACACACACACACACCACCCCATTCAGACACAAAACTTGAGCGGAACACACACACACACACACTGATGTACGGTGCGTTGTACAAGCTCTTTCACACACACACACACACACGGCTCCTGATTCTCCTCCGTCTCCCCATGTACACACACACACACACACTCCCTGGGATCCTGAGGATTAAATAAACACACACACACACACACACACGAGAACCGTACTCCCCCCACCGCCAAAAAAACACACACACACACACACAGGGAGATGCTTTGGTGATTTGGAAGTACTACACACACACACACACACTCTGTGGCCTCAGTGAGGGAAGGAAGCTGTACACACACACACACACACTCGCTGTCCACCCCTCTCTCAGAAGATGTAACACACACACACACACACATTAATGAAAAGATTAAAGTTTTGCTAAAGACACACACACACACACACGTCATCTCCTGGTGTGTGTTGTGCCTGGGAACACACACACACACACACGCCCTTGATGTACTGTTTCTATAAAAATAAACACACACACACACACACCCACACTATTTCTTTCCGTAGTCTATTACCACACACACACACACACACGTTGCAGAAAATTGGTGGGTGGGGTGTGTGTACAGACCCCGAGAAGGCCCTAAAATAAAGACAGATGGGGGAGAAGCCACACACACACACACACACGGGGTCACATGAAAATTTAACGACGGTAAAACACACACACACACACACTGGGAATAGGATAAAAGACATCATTTTCTCACACACACACACACACACAAAATCATCGTAGGGTAAAGGCGGGCAGGCACACACACACACACACACATCAATTAGTTCAAACACGGTCGTCCCGTGACACACACACACACACACGGGACGGCGACGGGGGAGAGGGAGAGAAAATGAACTAGATTTTAATCCCGTCTCTTTGTGAATTGTTGGATAATCTCTACACACACACACACACACGTGCTGTGAGCGGATAGAGTTTCCATTTAGACACACACACACACACACATAAATTGAGCATCCGATGGAAGCTGTTCCACACACACACACACACACTAGCGTCGCCCCTGCAAAGTCACATCACCCACACACACACACACACACGGAAACTTATGAGACCACGGCGAGGGGCGGACACACACACACACACACCAAATATCTGTGGGTTTATGGCGCAGAGCTACACACACACACACACACCACTGTCTGTAATGGAAATCAAAAGGACATACACACACACACACACACGAAGGAAAAATCAGCGAGCGGTCCTTAATGAAGAAATAACTGTCTAAACCAGTGTCACACACTTCACTTACCATATTCAGGCCTAATTGGAATTGATCGTGAATCACTCCAAGACTGATTTATTAGACACACACACACACACACATTCATCACTTTTATTCTTCATCATCTTTTACACACACACACACACACCCGTGTTGAACGAGAGCCTTTCCAGGTTTCACACACACACACACACACTTTGTTTGTTTCAGTAGGATTTTGTTTTTGACACACACACACACACACTGTTTTTGTTTGTTTGTTTGTTTCAGTAGGACACACACACACACACACTGCTTGTTTTTGTTTGTTTTTTAAATGCCCACACACACACACACACACGGCCGGCTGGCTTCCCGGACCGTGTAGGAGACACACACACACACACACGAGCATTGACGGACACACTGGCAGTCACTTACACACACACACACACACTGACTCTGGACACAGGCTTTGGAAAGGGGGACACACACACACACACACAATTTCCGTCTCAGCCCCAGGCCGGGACCTACACACACACACACACACTGAGGGAGGATGTGACTTTGCTGGGACACAACACACACACACACACACGCGCTGCAGCCCCCGGGAGGGCCCGCATTGGAAGGTGGGCGGGAAGCTCTGTCTTGGGTTCCAGACCAAATGCATGTGGCCGTTGTGTAGACTCCCGGGTGCAGGTGCACCGGCTCCCCCCCAGGCACACACACACACACACACGGTGGCTGTGGACCCAGCACGTGTTTTGCTACACACACACACACACACAATTATTTGTCTTGGGCAGTGACTGCCGTGACACACACACACACACACGAGCTGCCACAGAAAGCCTGTTAGGAGGAAACACACACACACACACACCAGGAAGGTGGCCGTTGGGGAGGGGACGGGACACACACACACACACACGGCCTAGGCTACACTCCTTGCATTCCCCAGACACACACACACACACACAGGGGACTGTCAATACTGGGAGAGCAGAGGACACACACACACACACACAGGGGGCGGAATTCGCCCCCAAATATTAACACACACACACACACACACTCTCCAGCCTCCGGAGGGTCCCCGGCTCTGACACACACACACACACACTAGCTTCCCCCAAGACTCAGAAGTCCTCAAACACACACACACACACACTATGGCAAAGCCTGCTATCCTTGGGGTTCCTCTCTGGGATGTTCGTAACCCTTGGTCATATGAGTGGGACTCCTTCAGACACACACACACACACACGAGGCCGAGGAAAGCAAGATACTTTCTGGGACACACACACACACACACAGATTGGAGAAGGGGCTGGATTTGGAGCCCACACACACACACACACACCCTCGACCTTGGTGGCTAAAGTCTGCAGGTACACACACACACACACACACAGGGTGTACAGGAGTTGGGGGATGGGTGACACACACACACACACACAAGTTCCAGAGTCCACTTCCACTGTCTCAGACACACACACACACACACCTTCAATTCATCAGTGATAATGCACTGGTCACACACACACACACACACGAGAGCTTAACGTTTTCCAGTTCTAGGCCGACACACACACACACACACCTGTCATCCCAGCACTTTGGGAGGCTGAGGACACACACACACACACACTCAGGAGTTCGAGACCAGCCTGGCTAACATACACACACACACACACACCTAAAAATACAAAAATTAGCCAGGCGTGGTACACACACACACACACACCAGCTACTTGGGAGGCTGAGGCTGGAGAATACACACACACACACACACGGAGGTTGCAGTGAGCCGAGATTACACCACTGCACTCCAGCCTGGATGAGAGAGCAAGAGTCTATCTCAAAAACAAAAACACACACACACACACACGCCGGGATTCAGGCTCACACCTGTAATCCCAGCACTTTGGGAGGCTGAGGTGGGTGAATCACCTGAGGTCAGGAGTTCACACACACACACACACACGTGGTAAAACCCTGTCTCTACTAAATATACACACACACACACACACACGTGGTGGATGCCTGTAGTCCCAGCTACTCGACACACACACACACACACATTGCTTGAACCTGGGAGGAGGAGGTTGCAACACACACACACACACACACTGCACTCCAGCCTGGATGAGAGAGCAAGACACACACACACACACACAACAAAGAACAAAACCCAATTTCCAGTTCTACACACACACACACACACACGCCTCTCATCCCAGCACTTTGGGAGGCCACACACACACACACACACGAGGTCAGGAGTTTGAGACCATCCTGGCTAACACACACACACACACACTCTACTAAAAATACAAAAATTAGCCTGGCGACACACACACACACACACGTCCCAGCTACTCGGGAGGCTGAGGCTGGAACACACACACACACACACAGGTGGAGGTTGCAGTGAGCCGAGATCATGACACACACACACACACACGGTGAGAGAGCAAGACTCTGTCTCAAAAACACACACACACACACACACTACAAAAAAAAACCCAAAACCCAGTTTCCAACACACACACACACACACTGCAGAGGGTTGGAGACAGAGGGGCGGTGAACACACACACACACACACTGCTTACTTCTGGACTCCCAGAGGTGCAAAACACACACACACACACACCAGGAAGGTCCTCCCTGGCGAGGCTGGGCTACACACACACACACACACATCTCTTTCTGCTTCCCCCACAAGGTTTGGTTCCAGAACCGGAGAGCGAAGTGTCGCAAACAGGAGAATCAGATGCATAAAGGTGGGTGTTGGGACTGGGGGGACCTGAAGCTGGGGGCGCCTGCTACACACACACACACACACAACGAGGTGCTGGCTGCACCCAGGACCAGCACACACACACACACACACTTTCGCCACAGGCGTCATCTTAGGCACAGCACACACACACACACACACCCGGGTGGCACCCTACGTGAACATGGGAGCACACACACACACACACACACAGGTAGCCTGGTTTTTCTTCCTCTGAAGACACACACACACACACACCCCCCTCCCCTTTCCCCTACTTGCTCGCCCACACACACACACACACACTTCTCAGTTGGCCCCCAGAAAAAAAAAAAAACACACACACACACACACGAGGCTTTTACAGGCACCTTGACACGTATTACACACACACACACACACCGCGGTGGCTCAGGCCTGTCATCCCAGCTCACACACACACACACACACGTGGATCACCTGAGGTCAGGAGTTCGAGACACACACACACACACACACTGAAACCGCGTCTCTACTAAAAACACAAAACGTAGCCGGGCGTGGCAGTGTGCACCTGTCATCCCAGGTACTTCGGAGACACACACACACACACACCTTGAACCCGGGAGGTGGAGGTTGCAGTGAACACACACACACACACACAGAGATGGTGCCTCTGCCCTCCAGCCTGGGACACACACACACACACACGGACTCCAACTCAAAAAAAAAAAAAAAAATACACACACACACACACACAGACCTTTTGGGAAAGTGAACACAAACGGAAATCTTAACAAAAACCAGAGGGGTGACAAGTCCCACCCAGTCAGGCCCCCCCCACCTGGCTTGCTGTCTGGTTAAGAACGGTGGGATGCCTGCGCCTGGATACCAGAGATGGGATACGCATCCACTCCGTTTTCACCACCACCCCCGAGAGTCCGACGGTCTGGGGCGTCTGCCTGGACCCTGGACCGTGGCACACACACACACACACACACTCAGCTCCCCGCTGACTTTGGAGTGAGCACACACACACACACACACAGTGGATTTGCGGCTTTCAGGGAGTGTCGGACACACACACACACACACCGAAGCGTCCCAAGGGGGCCCCCTGCTCTGACACACACACACACACACGATGGGGGGAAGCGGGAAACTGTGTGGAAGACACACACACACACACACGACGAGAGAGCGCAGCGCCCACGTGCGCCCACACACACACACACACACCGCCTTTGCGCGCCCCTTCGGTCCCTAATCACACACACACACACACACGCGGGCGGAACGGAGTTGGGGGGCTCTGGCAGGGCGGACGCGTGGCCTCTGTTCTTGACCGTTTGATTCCAAGGGGACACACACACACACACACACGGCGCGTGTTTGGCGAAGGGCTGCAGGTATACACACACACACACACACCTCTGCTGGCTGAGAGTGCAAAGGCTTGGGGGGGGTGGCGGTGGGGAGGGAAAAGTATAAAAGTCTAAATCATAAATACACACACACACACACACCGCCGAGCGCTGGTCGCCACGAGCTCTCCAACACACACACACACACACCCGAAGGAGACCGGTCCGCATCCCTCCGCCGTTCTCCTCTCCTGGGACTTGGCCTCGAGGTGGGGAAAGGGGCCCACTACACACACACACACACACCGACGGCAGGATCCAGTGAAATTAGGCCGTACACACACACACACACACCTGGCTTTGCGCACCGGAGCCTTGGGGACCACACACACACACACACACTTGGGGACCTGGTGTCCCGGGAGAGACTTGACACACACACACACACACAGAGGCTTGGGGGCCTGGCGTCCTGGGGAGACACACACACACACACACTCTTGGGAGAGCCTTGGGGACCTGACGTCCACACACACACACACACACCTGGTGTCCTGGGAGAGGCTTGGAGACCTGACACACACACACACACACGGGGACTGGTGGCCTTGGAGAGCCTTGGGGACACACACACACACACACGCTTGGGGACCTGGTGTCCTGGGAGAAGCTACACACACACACACACACGGAGAG